AATAATAGAAGCAGATTTTGCCTGTTTCATCCTGTTCTAGAAATGTAGAATCAAACTGTCCAAACATTGATATCTGTTAGACAGGAGAGTAAAAATAAATATGCAACTGGTACTAGGCTTAATAAATACTAGGTGGGAGATGGATTTCCTATTTCTTCTAAAAATAGTTTCACATTAGTAACCATTTTATATATTAGTTTGGCCCAAGAATATTGAATGTCATACACGGTATAATTGATGTGCATTTTAAGTTGCAGGAAGTAATGTTAAATCAATATGTGATTGTAGAGTTTAGGAAAACCAAATGTGACGCTTGAGAATTGAGGCACATTGACTAATGTGGCTCAAGTGAAACCCACTGCACCTGCTATTTTTAGTATGAGCAGAGCTGGTCCTCTTCCTGTGTGGCAGGCCCCTTGCACAGTGCACACTGTGGTGTGGGGACCCTGCCCACCACATCCTGTGACTTTGCCTCTTCAGATTCACTTTAACAACTGCAAGACAAATTCTCAAGAGCTCTGCTGGAGAACTTGCAGTGGGACTGTCCCACATTCCCTGATGGATGAGTAGCACCAACCTGAGGATGCAAAGTAAATTCAAATTTCTAATCATGGAATTTGAATGTCAGGACAGCTCTCTGGTTTCAGACCTCCTCTGACCTTGACCAGAAATGTTCATATGTATCTAAAATGTTTTCCTTAAGACCATAGATCCCCACCACGTATAATAACCACCTCTCCTTTCTTATGTCAATAAGAAAGACTCTGGGAGTGAATTCAGCACTGGGTAATAGACAGCTCCACACATTTAGGGGTCCGCCAACCTCTATATCTTATCCAGGAGTCCTTGAACTTAATGTACAAGGAGAATATAAGTAGAATTACCTGGTTTCCGTATTTTGTGCAGGATATTGTATAGGTACACACTTTTTTCCATAGTTGATATGCACGACAACTACACTTTGACCACATGTAGACATTTGCTCTTTGGATGGATTGAGAAGCCAGAATACATTCCACAGCACAAAGTACATCTTGCTTCAAAAGACGTAACAGGAACTTAGAGTTCAGTTAAGGCCCAAGGATGGAGACTCTTGGATGTAGGGTAGTAATTCATCTGAAGACAATGGGAAGATAGACTCACCTTGTCCAGGAAATGAGATTTCTCCTCATACTCATTTCAGTCACAGAAAAGTACCCATGAGTGCCTGGGAGCTGATTCTTTGTTGAATTCTGTCAAATACATCAAAAGGATTAGCTGTAGCCTAAAAATGTGAAATACTCTTGTTTCACAAACAGTGTCCTGTTGGGAAGGAGGTGAAACTCTGCTGGGTAGAATGGAGTATCTGTGTGGATGAGCCTGAGATACATGAGTGACCCCAATTCTGCATTTTCCAGGACAAAAAAAGTCAGACCCTCATATCCTAGTTTCAAGAGTAAGTATCTTCTCAGGGACCTTTTGAAAAATGCCCAGTTAAGATGAAGCACCACAAGATTATGATTTTAATACTGAGAAGCTGATTCTAACATTTACATGAAAGAAAAGTACTGTGAGAGCAATTCTATGTATGTATTGATACGATGCTGTGGGTTAATGTTCACTCTCTGGTGAAATATGAAGATGAAAAACCTTTTAAAGTTCACCGTACATGTGAATAACAAGTTTTGTAAGTTGCATGTTAAAGATTTTTGCTTGTTTTTCTATTGCTGTCTGGTGTTGTCCACACATTTACACATTTCTATTTCCTAAATCAGTGCCAGTCCTTCTTTCCTTCTTGTTATAGCCTTTGTTAGAAAGAAGCTTGTGTCAGCTTTAAGTATTGGTACCCTGATTTCTTTTTGTTTTTATTTTCAGAACATACATTTTTCTATCCTTTTGCTCTTAGTCTGTGTGTGCATTTCCACCTGAAGTGATTCTTTAGCAGACAGTGTGTCCTGTTTCCTTGTTCATTCTGCTCCCCTATGGTTTTTTAATGGATTGTGTTCTCTGTTAGCATTGAAACTAATGGTTCATAGACATGTATTTATTTCCATTTTATTTCAAAATTTTAGCTTTTTTCTTTTTCTACCTGAAGAAGACCTTTTAGCATTTCTTGTTTAATACCGGTTTGGAGATGATAAACTCCTTTTGCTTCCTCTGGGCTTGGAAGCTCTCTATCTGTCCTTGGATTCTAAATGTCAGCTTTTCTGCACAGAGTAATCTTGGTTGTAGGTTCTTGGTTTTTATCTCTTTGTATATTTTGTGCCAATCATGGCAGGCTTGCAAAGATGTTGCTGGCACGTCAACGAGAGGAATTCCTGCAGGCTGGTGATCAGCAAAGACGGGGCTAGAAACCACAGCAGAGGAACAGCTGGGAGGGAGCGGACCCCATGGAGCAGAAGTCACTTCAGCAAGGCTCCGGTATCTGCTGACTCCACCCCTTGAGTGTGCCCATGGTAGGGGTGATCAGGTGGTGCTCTGGTGTTGTCTGAAGCTGTCCACTGGGTGTGTTGGCTTTGAGGCCTCCTGGGATGTACAGGCCAAGGTCAGCTACCATCTGTGCCCATCCTGGGGACACCTAGCATGAGCTGCCAAGAAATCTGCTAATGGCTGCCACTTGTGCTGGGTTTGTAGGTGGCAGGGAGAGGCCACACTGTCCCCTGAGGCTGGCTGCCACTGCTGCCTGGCCTGGGGACACTTAGCTGAGGTTCAGGGCACACTGAGCCCAGACACTGCTGGTTTGGGTTTTTCAGACTCTGAGGGACTTTAGCGTGAGCCAAGGCAGGCTGTTTGCATGACAATCCCCTGGAAGTAGCTGGAGTGTGCTGACAAGCTGGGTGGGCAGAGACCCAAGGAATCATCAGGGTGGGGTGAACAGTGTGAGCCAGGTTGATGGAGACTCAGATTTGGCACCTGCCTGTGCCTGTGGGGAGCACTCAGCATGTGTGTCTGGGAGAAGCTGACCCTCCAGTCTGGGCCCTAAAGTCAGACAATTCACTTCCTCCCCATATGTTTCTGATGCTTTTCACCATGCTGCCCCAGTGCTGGAGCTCCGAGGGTCTGAGTCAGAGTAAGTCCACGCACAGGCCCATTAATAGGACACCTGAGACTCCAGATGCCTCTTGCCTCACTTGGCCACCATCCCTGATGGTTTATATAACCAGAGTGATGGGAATGTCACTTCCCATCACTGGACCTCTGGGCTGGGGAAACTGGTGTGCAGCTGGGACCTCTTACTCCATAGGAGGAACCTCCACAGTCAAGATATAACCCCCGAATTTGAACTGTCTACATGGGTGTGGCACCACCTCATTGCATACCTGAAGCCCTCCTACCTGTCTCAGTGCGGCTTCTTTTTAAACCCTTGGTTGTGGGACTTCCATTCAGCTACCCTTCAGGTGACTCTGAGGGATAATTGATGTGTAGTTTAGTTTTCATTTGGTGGTGGTTTTAAGAGGAGGTGACTTCCGTGTTAACCTCCGTCACCATCTTGTACAGAAGTCTCAATGTCTGATGATAAATAAATTATTTTGAATGCTTGCCAATTTTTATTTAAATAGTAAGTTTGATTTTAAATAGCCCTTTTTAAAATTTTCCAGACCAATGTTTAATTGACTGTGTTATACATTATTAAATCAACCAGTTTGGATGTTGTATGTGCATTTCTAATTAGGGTAGTTTCCACCACTGTTAGAATTGGAATTTATGATTGCGAACCACTTTTGCTTCCTCCTCTCCTCTGTATAAGAAAAGGTTATTACACATTAACTTAATTTAACTCTTGGTATATAATTTCCAAAGCTCTGTGTGTGTCTATACCCTTTCTTTCTCACTCACACACACTCCAAATATTTTAACCTGTCTTAAATGTAAATATATATGTCAATATATGTACACATGTACTCTTGCAAACTTTATTTCTTTTGTAATTATTTTTCTTATGTTTGCATCTCACTGACTCCACTTTTGTCCATTATTCTTTTGGTTTAAGTGCCTATTTTCATTTGCTTTCACTGAGCATGTAAACAATAAAATACTGGAGACCTGGTGTGTCTGAGAATGTCTTATTTTCAGTAGGATAGTTGAAGGCATTTCCTTTTTTCAAATAAAGGATATAATTCTAATACAAGATGTGGAACTTCTCTCTTGGTTTTGATTCTAAAAACCCTCAGAAGTCAGAGCCTGACGTGGTGGATTTGACACGAGAGACGAGTTCAAGCAGGTCAGACCTGACTTCTTCTTGTCATACTAATGGGTCATTCCACTCTGACCCTTTCACCTGGCCTTTTAATAAAAATTTGAATCAGTAGAGAATTCTACATTAACAATCAAATCCACGAATGTATTTCCCCCATCTTTAGTATTGTGTTTATTTGAAAGTCAGCTCCCATCAATCTCCCCCTGTTGCCATAAAGAAAAAGATACATGTTTCATCCTACACCACACGCATGCTCCCTGACCCTATGGGGTCTCTCTGCCCCTCTGTGAAATGCCCAAACCTTGGTCTCTAGGGTGGACACAGACATCAGTCTCCCTGCTCCTCCTGAAACTCCCAGGATCCATTTGACACCCTCTTTCTAGTCTCCATGTATCTTAGATTTCTAATTCCAGTCTCTCTGAATCACATCCTGCAAAGGGGCCTCGGTGCTGGGGGCCACTCAGTTACAGTCTTTGTCCTCCATGTGGGTCTCTCTCCATTTGGGGAACTTTCACTTCTCTTTTCCCACATGTGTCTCTGCCTACATACTTTAGAGCTGTTGTTAGTAGCTGTGCTTGGTATTCAGAGCAGACAAGGTCTCAAGTGGATAAAACAATCCAGCCCTTGACCTGGACACCTTGATCCTCTAATGTCCCAAACTACTCACATCTCCATCTGGTCTGGAAATGGAAGTCACCCTCCCATGAACCAGCACCACTCACCCACAAACACTGTGGGGACTGGGCTTTCTGACAATAGGATCCAGATGAGGAAACTGAGGCAGACACTGAACATTACCACTCAAGGATATATGAACTTTGGATGATGAGTATTTAAACAAATATCTTTTTTAAGTAAAAACCAGGACTGTAACCCAAATCAATGTCCCCTGAAGCTTGAAGGCAGGACCACAGCATGAGGAGGACGCTTGAACCAGGAAACAAAGGACACTGAGGGGGCAGGTGTCACTCAGAGGCTTGTCCCCAGGAAGGTGGGTGGACACTGTTGCTAAGAAAAAATGAGAAATAGGTAAGGGTGGCTGGGATAGAAAGAAAACCACACTCTGGGCCAGGGAAAAGGGCGTGTGTCCTTCCCTCACTTCCCCGAGTCTGTCCTTTGTGCTCATTGTCACAGTGACACTCGCCTGAACTGCATAGTGAGGAGGGGACCCTGTCTCTGCCAACCTGAGCTCTGCAGGCACAGGGATCCCCATCTTCCTGCAGTGTCTCCAGGGCCTGGGTGACCACTGTCTATGGGGAGGACCCACATGGAGGGGCTGATGGTTGGGTGGGGAAGGAATGGAATCCCATGGGGGAGGCTCTGACCTGGAAGGACATGCCCTGGGTCACCTCACCTGCAAAGACGTCTCAGCAGGCTCCAGGTTTAATTCTTCCTGCATCAAGAGAATGAGAGCCGGACTCCTGGGGCCACACTGTTCCCCTTCCTCAGGTCTGGTGACGTAACAACCTCGTGATAGGGACAGACAACCTCCCACTGGCCACACCCTGTGAGTCTGTCTACACTGAACACACCGTGGTCTCTTCCTTCTGCACAGCTGGGTTCAGAGAGGAGAACCCATGCCCCCGACCCTCACGGCCCTGCTGTGCCTTGGTGAGATGTGCAGGGGGAGGAGATGCCCTGCTCTGACAGGACCCCAGGGCTCAGGAGGCTCCTGGGGAGGAGGGTTGTTCTCAGGATTCAGCGCAAATCTCTCATAGGGACTCTCTTGCAGGGATGATCGTGCACCTGAGGACCCCCATGCAGGCAGGTGAGTCTGTCTCCAGGGCTCCCAGGAGCCTCTCCACATAAATGACAAGGTGTTTCCCCATTAGGCAGCTGGGGATGGAGAACAGAAGTTCTGGGTTAATGGGTGAGGGACGTCTGGGAAGGTTGGGGCTGAGATCTGGGCACTGGAGCTGACCCAGGCTCTGATTCCTTCCAGGGACCCTCCCCAAACCCACCCTCTGGGCTGAGCCAGGCCCTGTGGCCCTGTTGCGGAGTTCTGTGACTATCTGGTGTCAGGGGACCCTGCAGGCCCAGGAGTTCCGTCTGGATAAAGAGGGAAGCCCACAGCCCTGGAGCAGACAGGAGCCACTACATGCAGGGAACAAGGTCAACTTCTCCATCACACACATGACAGAGTATGATGCAGGGAAATATCACTGCTCCTATCTCAGCCCCACTGGCTGGTCAGAGCGCAGTGACCCCCTGGAGCTGGTGCTAAAAGGTGAGGGAAAACAGGGGTCCCAGCCTAATGATCCATCCTCAGGGAGGGGGATACTCTAGGGTGTCTCCCCCTCGCAGCCCAACCCTGGGGGACATGAGGGAAGTTAGCCCCATTTAACATGCTGCCTCCTTCTCTCCTAGGATCCTACAGCAAACCCAGACTCTCAGCCCTGCCCAGTCCTATGGTGATCTCAGGAGGGAATGTGACCCTCCAGTGTGGCTCTGGACAAGGGTTTGACAGGTTCATTCTGATTAAGAAAGGAGAATACAGGCTCTCCGGGACCCTGGACTCAATGCGACAGCCCAGTGGGCAGGTCCAGGCCCTGTTTTCTGTGGGCCCTGTGACCCCCAGCCACAGGTGGACATTCAGATGCTATGGCTGTTACAGGAACAGATCCCAGGTGTGCTCACTCCCCAGTAATGTCCTCAAGCTCCTGGTGTCAGGTGAGGAAGTCCCAAGCTGGTCCTTCCATGTTTTGAGGTAGCAGACAAGTTACTGGGGTCTTTACTGGCAGGGAAGACTTCCATGTGAGAGGTGGGGTGAGGGGAGCACAGGAGCTTCTGGGTCAGAGACACAGAGAGAAAGAGATGGTGGGACCTGGGGACCAGGCCAGGAAGAGGGTTCATGGGAGGAATAGCCCTGTCACTCCTGTCTGGTCCCTGCAGGTGGTTCAGAGAAGCCCTCCCTCCTGACCCAGCAGGGCCCCATTGTGGCCTCTGGACAGAACCTGACCCTCCAGTGTCCCTCTGACTTCGGCTATGACAGATTTGTTCTGTCCAAGGAAGGGGGACAGGACCTCCATCAGAGCTCTGTCCTGCAGCCCCAGGCTGGACTCTCTCAGGCCAACTTCCCCCTGGGCACTGTGAACAGTACCCATGGGGGCCGGTACAGGTGCTACGGTGGACACAGCCTGTCCTCTGAGTGGTCGGCCCCCAGTGACCCTCTGGACATCCTGGTGGCAGGTGAGGAGCCAGCAGGTTCAGTCAGGGATCCAGTGTCTGCTCAGGCCCTGCTGGTGGTCTCAGGTGGTGATGGTCAGGATAAGGGGTATGGGGTCCCTAAGGAGAGAGAGAAAAAAAATAGGTGATGGGATAGGAGTTTGAGATGCAGAGAAAACAGAGAAAGACAGCAAGGAGGTTCTTAAAGGGGCCAGGTGACTCTCAGGTCACAAGTACGTGGATGGCAGACTCTCACGTGCTTCCCTCTCTCTAGGATGGCTCCCTGACAGACCCTCCATCTTGGTGCAGCCGGGCCCCAGAGTGGCCTCAGGAGAGAAGGTGACTATGCTGTGTCAGTCACGGAGCCCGAGGGACACTTTCCTTCTGTCCAAGGAGGGGACAGCTGGTCCCCCCCTGCATCTCAGATCACAGTCCCGAGCCCAGCAGCACCAGGCAGAGTTCTCCTTGGGTCCTGTGACCTCAGCCCATGGGGGGACCTACAGGTGCTACAGTGCAACCCACAGCAACCCCTACCTGTTGTCACAGCCCAGTGACCCCCTGGAGCTCCTGGTCTCAGGTGAGGAGCCTGTGACCCTGTCATTTCTGTGCTCACTCAGCTCAGAGCCCTGTCCCTCGGACATTCGGGGAGAGAAATAAATGAGGAGTGCAGGAGGTTCCTAGAGGGTATCCAGCCCCTTAAAGGTGGAAGGAGACAGGGCCTCCCACCCCTGAGCCCCCTGTTCTCAATCTCAGCAGAGAGAAAGAGCAGGAGGGTGGAGTGAGATGTGTGGGAAGTGAGGAGAAAGGTGGTTAGACTGAGCAGAGAAGACAGATCCCCTCCCCCACTCACCTCCTGCATCTTCATCTCAGAGTCTGAGCCCCTGGGGTCCCAGCCCCCACTGGGCCCTCACCCAGAGAAAGCAGCTTCCCCTCCCCTCCCGTGAGTGTCCAGCTCTACAGGCTCCTGGGCTCACCTGGAGCCTCCAGCACCTGAGAGTGAGGAGGGGCTGTGCCCTGCTTAGGAGGAGCTGGGGGCTCCCACCCACACTGAGGGCTCCCCTGTCTGCTCCGTGGTTCTAGGGGGCCTTGTCTTTTCCTGCTCCTTTCTGAGACCTTTCTGGCAGTGTGTCAGTATACAGAATAACAGTGTAATTTACATTATATGGAGTCAACCTTCAAATGTCTATAATGCTATTCTTATTTTCATAGAGAAGATGAAATTCAGACATTTGTTGTGGAGAATTACTTCTTGTTACTATTAAGTCTTTGTATTACATACATTTCAAATGAGGTTTTAGTGAACTTCAGAAGCACTTTGATAGGTATTTGTAAAACTGAGTAAATTTGCACCCAACTTTCAGAACTGCACATCTAATAATGTAATTTGTGTGTAAGCTATTAGATTCCTTTCTACAGTCTAAATAGGAGTAAGTACATGTAGGAAATCCATTGGTTTGGGCATATTTATTTCATGACTAGTATATCTTCCTAAAATCCTCTCTCTTTGGACTCTTTTTCAATTGATCTCACTGATACAATGAGAAAATTATAATAACTACAAGTCAAAGGTCATTTCACTTATTGCACACTGTATACCTATTTTTCTCTCTCTAAATTCCTCATGATAAAAAGACCAAGTAAAATGTTCCACAGCTTTACCCCTGAAAAAGTTTCATTCATTAGGCACATTATTTCAAGGCAAACTCATTAAGATATGCACATTTTATATCAAATGCACTATCGACCTTTATGTTTCAATGTGTTTTTCTGTTTCATTAGAGTGTTATTAGGAATGCTTTTTTAACTGACATATACTGATCTCCTAAAATTTATCTTTTCTGTCTGATTTATAAGCACTGGAGACACAATTACAGAAGTTTCTTATTTTTAAACACTTGCATATTAGTGCAAATGAATAACATTTATTGTCCGTGTGCATTTTCTGAATTGTGTGAGCTGATATTTAGAATTTTTGTATACATCTTTGGAATTAGGACAAGACAATAATTTTGTTACATCTTGTTTTCTATATCAAGTGGGGAAGCAGATTCCCATAATTTCCTATTTTTGGTGCTCACAAAATAGTACAACTTGGGGCAACTTTTCTGTTCCTTAAAGTTTGAAAATCACAACTGCGGGCTTCCTTGGTTAGCAGCATTGCTAAGTAGTGCATGGAGATTGTGTTTTGGGGTAAAAATCACATGATTAGCTGTCCATCCAAGAAATCTTGCCATACTTCCTAGAGTTTGTCCAAAAGGAGAAGAAGATGGTGCCTGCCCCTTCTGGCCCCTGACCTGACCTCTGACCCCATGTTCCAAAGCCCTGAGTCCCAGTCCCCCTTCTCCTCTGGCCCCACCCTACGTCCCACAGAGGAGACTTCATTCCCCATGGAAGACCAGACTAGATCCTTTTGGGGACCTGCCTCCTTATCACCTGTTTCTTTTTTTTAAGATTTATTTATTTATTTTTAGAGAGGGAAGGGAGGGAGGGGGGGAGAGAGAGAGAGAGAGAGAGACATCAATGTGTGGTTGCTGGGGGTCATGGCCTGCAACCAAGGCATGTACCCTGACTGGGAATCGAACCTACGACACTTTGGTTCACAGCCCGCGCTCAATCCACTGAGCTACACCAGCCAGGGCTATCACCTGTTTCTTTCATGTCCCTCTGTCCTCACACACACAATAATAATTATCAGCACCACACAAGTATATGTAGATACAGGTGATGATATATAAGTTAGTATTTATATGAGTGATTATATGTATAGCTATATATACAGATTCATTTTATATGACATTTTATAATAAACTCTATAAAATGTACATAGAGAGGATGAAGGAAAGGTAGGATTAAAGTTATACAAAAAATAATGTAACAATTAATAAATAACACAATAAATAACTCTGTATTTCATGAATTCACAACTGTAAACCTACTCTTCTCTCACCCCATATTTACTCTAAAAGAGATATTAAATTTATGTGTATACACTATACCTACAAATGTTCATCCACATGCCCATATATCTAATCTGGTCATTATATCTCCTGTGGTAGTTTTGTCATCATATAAAATGAACTAATGAAACAATAAACACATGAAAATGTCCAGGTGATGATTAAACAGCAGACCCCAGAGAGTGGGGTGAAGGAGATGCTACCCCAGACTTTCACCCTTTTGTGCACCTGCCACACAGGAGCCCACAACACCACCCCTCCTCCATGGACCTGGGCCCCCACAGGTGGAAAACATGGGATCTCTCAGTTCCAGGGCAGTAAGATTCTGGGTCTTCAATCTCCGATTGAACACAGAATTCACAGCAGCTCTACATTGTTCCTGAAATGAGACCATTTTTTTTCCCTAACCTGAGCTCTTAGGCACAGCTCACTCTTGTCATGGTGGCTGGGAGCCAGAGCTGGATTCAGACTTCCCAGCGATGCTGATGTCAATGGGAGGAGGGATCCTGGGGGAGATATTAGAATTCTGTGGGTTTAGGGACTGCCTGATCATGCTGACCTCTGTCTCCACATTTTGCAGCCTCCCAACCCCTAGACTACACAGTGGAGAACCTGATCCGCATGAGTGTGGCTGGGTTGGTCCTGGTGGTGCTCGGGGTGCTGCTGCTTCAGGCTCAAGACAGCCAGAGGAGGACCCAGGCTGCAGCCAGAACGTGAACACAGAGGGCACAGGGCATCGTTCAGAGAGAGGGAACCATGCCCATCTGATGACCCAGGAAGTGGGGAAGGACAGCCGTACCACAGATGGGGAAACTGTCTGCTGATGTGTCCAGGGGAGCAGAGGTGGCAGATGAGGTTTGGGGACAGGAAACATGAACCATGTTCCTGTAGAGATGCCTCCTCCTTCCCACTGTGGGGCTGTCCCTCCTCATCCTCACTGACTCCCCTTGACTGCCCCTCTGTTCTCACCGCTGTGACCTGAGGGGCTGCCCCACAAGGCTGGTTTGGGTTCACATCTACACACCCCTTCATGCTGAATCCCACTCATATAAACAAATGTGGTGTCTTCATAACCAGGAAGGGTTTTTTCAGCCATAAAAACAAAGTACTGACACCTGCTACCTGGTGGGTGAATGTCAACATCCTGCAGCTAAATGACAGAAGCCAGAGAGAAAAGATCACATTTTCTGTGACTGCGTTTGTATGAAGCATCCAGGAGGAGGAAACCCACAGAGACAGAAGTCAGGTGGGCTTGTCGGGGGCTGATGAGAAGGAGAGATGGGAGACTGAAGGCTTCATGTAATTTGGGTGTGGGGTTACACAAATTTGTTACTAAAACTAGATAAAATCTGTGGTCCATCTGTTGTGTATTTACTACATTCCAGTGAAATGTATACTTTGAAATGCTCAATTCTATGTTATAGAAACTTATTAAAAAGAAATGTAAGTCGCCATGGTTCCCTGTGGATCCTTTTTGCCTTACAAGTGGCCTCATATCTCCAGGCAATCTCATGAAAGATGAGACTCCCACCAGGTCCGAGATGCCCTCAGTGCCCAATGCTCAGCCCCTGGTGGGATTCCCTCCCTCACTCCTTAGTGTGGTGAGTCCAGCATCCAGGATGAGCAGTGTCCTTCCTGTCTCCCCTCAGTCTGGTCTCACCTGCCATTCAACCAAGGATGCCCTGTAGCTTCTGATGCCCCCCGAAGGCTTGGGGGATACATGTGCGGCTGTCAAGTAGCCCTTCCTCCCAAACACTCTCATGCCCACCTCTTAATCAAGCCCAGAAATGACACAGATGGAGCCTTTTCATGTCTCAGGTTCTGCTGATCCTCACAACACCCGTGAGAGTTGAGCTTCCACCCCTGTCTGCAATGAGGGTAAAGGGAGAGGGGAAGGGACTGGCTCAGAATAGATGGTCACTAATGTTTCCCCTTGTCTTAGATTAAAACTTGTGAATTGTCTGCAACTGGTGCTTTTGCCCAGCACATGAAGATGGAGCAACCAATGTCAGATGCAGGATTGCCCCTCACAGACCAGGGCAGAGAGGAGGCAGACATGCTCAGGGTGCTGGGTGGGAGAGATGGAGAGAAGGTCTCCTGCTCACAGAGATGAGGATGTCAGAGAGAGGAAGTGTGAGGGAGAGACAAATTCACACACTCATCCAGGACAGTGGGTGGCTCTCTCTGTGGGTCAGGTGACAGTTCTGTAATCCTCTCCCCTTGCCTCTTGCCCTTCAGTGGGGTGGTCAGTCCTGGGACACTCCCATAGGCTCCCCAGGCCACCCAGACAGAGTGCAGACAAACCCTCAGCTCATCCCTCTCTTTCCCCCACACAATGAACATGCCCCCAGCTCTCTGTGATCCAGCTCCCCTCCACTGTCACACTCAGGTGAAGACCCAGAACATCATGGGCATGTGACCCCATCAGCCTCATCTTTGGCCTCCTGTGGACCCTCACTCTCAGCTGAGGAGTTTACTCCCATGCACCTGAACTTACCTGTCACAGACAACCACCTGCACAAAGCCTTTCCACAGGTCTCCACCTCATTCCAGCACATTCAAGGACCCCCACCTGAACTTCCATGTTGTGGAAGATCAGGCTGACCTAACCTCTCTGTCCTAAGCAGAACCAAGTCCTCCCTACAAAGCAGACCCTTCCCAGTGCCCACCTCTCCTCCCCAGACTCACACGCCTGGGTCATGGTCACACTGGGATTGTCATGGGCACCCCCTTAGCCCATCGGAACAGAGCACACTCTCTGCACACCTCCTAGACTGAGACAATGACAAAGAAATGTTCCTGCCTCTTTTCACTCAACTTCAAATGTATTTGTGTTATGGGAGTTATGTTGGGATTCATGAGAAATTCTCATAAACCACACAAAGTACTGATCAGCTCATCACCTCTGTGTTAGATTAGGGCTGGAGTTTTATCACAGTTCATCATCCCTTCTTCACCCCTACAATCTTTTCCCAGACAGGGCTATCTTCTCAAAGCAGCAACCGGCTCACACATTCCCAGCTGAGGGGTTCACTCCCATTTGAGGGGTTTACTCTCAGAGCCTCTTGATATGATTTTCAGTTCAATTCACATAAAATAAAACTTATCTTTTTAATGTGTACAATCCAGTTTAAAATATGAGCTTTTCATTTTAATTCATCCTTCATTTGCTTCAATTACCACAAGGACAAGATATTGATTTTATTTTTACATACATACACCCTGTCACTTAGCTGGTCTTCCTCATCTCTGTAAATTGTTTGATTATTGTTCTCTGGAGCTGATACTAAATGCCATGCTCACTTCTTTCCTTCTGACACCATAGATATGACATTTGCCCTCCTCACTCTAGTCTCCAAGTACCTTCATTCCCTACTGCAGGTCTCTCTAACCGGCGTTTTGGAAATTTCCCCAATGTTGTATTCCACTGTCATAATTGGAACTTCAGCTGTGTCTCATCCATCATGGGAAAAAATGTTTTTATTTAAAAAATATTTTTCATTTAGTTATTTTTAGAGAGAGGGTAAGGGAGTTAAAAAAGATAGAGAGAGAAACATCAATGTGTGGTTGCTTCTCATGTACCCCCTACAGGGCACCTGGCCCACAACTCAGGCATGTGTCCTGACTAGGAATTTAACCAGCGACTCTTTGGTTCAGAGGCCAGCACTCTATCTACTGAGCCAAACCACACATGGAGGAAGAATTATTTTAATGTGTCTATTCAATTGGGTATTTCCCCTCTCAGATTTCTAACTCAAAGATTTCCAACCAAGATTGAGGTGTAGGTAGACACACTGTGCTTCCTCACACAATCAAAAGAAGGACAACAACAAATTTAAAAACAAAACACAGTGAGAACTGACAAAAAATCGTACTGAATGGAAATCTGACAACCAAGGAGGTAATGAAGAAACATTGATCCAAACCTGTGGGAGGGGCAGAGATGGGCAGCCAGTTGGAGAGATTTCACAGCAAGGTGACAACTGGCAGAGTGGGGAAGGAAGTGGCTGGCAGGCTGGGCAGTCCCACACTGACAGTCAGATAAACTGGGAGGAACAACTGGGGAGCTAAACAGACCGCACAACCCAATGTCCAAGCACAGGAAAATAAAGCTTCAAAGCCTCTGACTAGAAAACCTGTAGAGGTTGAGGCTCCAGCGGGAGAAACTTCCAGCCTCAAAGGAGAGTTGATTGGACAGACCAATGAGTTCCTAGAAAGTACACAAACCCACCCACCCAGGAATCAACACCAGAAGGGCCAAATTTGATTGTGAGGAGCTGGGGAAGTGACTGAAAACGAGCAGAGAGCAGAGCAAGCAGCACTGTTACTTCTCAGACCTCTCCCCAACACAGAATCAAACACAGCCACGACAGTTGCCCTGCCATGGTGAATACCTAAGGCTCCGCCCTTTACTACAGAACAGGTGCACCGAGACAAAAACAAAAATGGCCCAAATGAAAGAACAGTTCAAAGCTCCAGGAAAAATATAACTAAGCAATGAAAAGATAGCCACCCTCTCAGATGCACAGTTCAAAACACTGGTTGGTTATCAGGATGCTCCAGGAACTCACTGGTTACTTCAAAAGCATAAAAAAGACCCAGGCAGCACTGAAGGTTGCATTATGTGAAGTAAAGAACAATCTACAGGAAACCAATGGTGATGGGAAGGAAACAAGGACTCAAATCAATGGTTTGGAGCAGAAGGAAGAAATAAAATTTCAACCAGAAAAGAATGAAGAAACAAGAATTCAAAACAATGAGGAGATGCTGAGCATCTTCTAGCACATCTTAAATGTTCCAACATCTGAATCATAGGGGAGCCAGAAGGAGAAGAGGAAGACCAAGAAATTGAAAACTTATTTGAAAAAATAATGAAGAACTTCCCCAATCTGGCGAAGGGAACAGACTTCCAGGAAGTCCAGGAAGCTCAGAGAGTCCCAAAGAAGTGGGATCCAAGGAGGAACACACCAAGGCACACCAAAATTACATTAGCCAAGATTGAAATTAAGGAGAGAATCTTAAAAGCAGCAAGAGATAAGGAGATAGTTACCTACAAAAGACTTCCCATAAGACTATCAGCTGATTTCTCAAAAGAAATCTTTCAGGAAAGAAAGGGCTGGAAAGAAGTATTCACAGTCATGAAAGGCAAGGACCTGCATCCCAGATTACTCTTTCCAGCAAAGCTATCATTTAGAATGGAAGGGCAGATAAAGTGCTTCCCAGATAAGGTCAAGTTAAAGGAGTCCACCATCACCAAGCTGTTGTTATATGAAATGTTAAAGGGACTTATCTAAGAAAAAGAAGATCAAAACTATGAACAGTAAAATGATAACAAAATCACAACTATCAGTGTCTTAGCATTAAAAAAAACAAAGAAAAATGAATTAAGCAAACCACTAGAACAGGAACAGATTCACAGAAATAGAGATCACATGGAGGGTTATCAGTGAGGAGGGGGAGGGGGAGAATGGGGGAAATGATACAGGGAATAAGAAGCATAAAAGGTAGGTAAAATAGACAGAGGGATGTTTGGAATAGTATGGGAAATGGTGAAGTCAAAGAACTTATAAGTACAACTCACAGACATGAACTAAGTTGGGGGAATGATAGTGGCAGGGGTGTACAGGGCAGAGGGGAATAAAGAAAGGAAAATGGGACAACTGTAATAGCATAACCAATAAAGTATATTAAAGAAAGAGGAAAAAGATTTCTAACTCATTATATTCTACTGTAAAACAATTTTTGGCTCAAAATTTGAATCCTTTCTTTCTTTTTCAGATATTTACACATGATCATCTTAAATTACTCTTGTATTTTCCTACTGACTCTCAATAAAGCTGGATAAACATTTTTCTTCTAGCCTGATGTTAGACAAACTTACAGACAGAGAAGGGAAGTTAATGGTGTCTGTTGACGGCAAATGTTGGAGATGCTGTGTATCTACCCATCTATTTATGTAACCAGTAATCTGCATCTGTGTGTCTATGCAACTGTGTATCATTCAGTGTGTCTATTTATCTGCACCTGTCAATCAACCTCTCTGGCATCCAGAATGTGAGACAATACAAGAAATTTCTGCTGTCTTAAGCCACTCAGTTTGTTGTCTTTTGCTGAGGCAACCTTGCCAAACTAATTCTCTCTCTCTCTCTCCCTCTCCTCTCTCTCTCTTTCTCTCTCTCTCTCTCTCTCTCTCTCTCTCTCTCTCTGACTCTCTCTCTCTCCTCTCTCACTACATATATATAATTTGACTCTGTCTCCATAGTGACACAAGGAATGAGGAACTGAGTTTTGACTCATATGCAAGAAATGATTTCAGCTAAAACAATAAAAGCAGATTTTCCCTGTTTTGTCCTTTTCTAAAAATGCACAATCAAATTGTCCAACACATTGATTTCTACTAGACAGGACAGTAAAAAATATGCAACTGGACCTAGGTGTAATACATACTAGGT